GCAGTGTAAATTTTAAATAACTTCCAGATTTCTATATTCAATATGCTAAAAAAAAAAAAAAAAAGAAAGAAAGAAAACTAAAAAAGCAATTTCAATTTCACAATTCACAGTTGATTGGTTTTAATCCCATGACACTTTTGCCATTTCTGTAGACACAAACAGATTTCCAAAGTGGTGAATGGCACTTAGCCCCAACAGTGTACACAGATCTTAAATCCCTGTGAGACATTGAGAGAAAATTTTAGGAAACCACCAATTTCATACAGTTTGGACTGGCTTTTTTTTTTTTTTTTTTTTTTTTTTAAAGCTATATCCTTCACCAGAGAAGCAGTTCTAGTGAAATAGCAAAAGCAGTTTGAAAAGTTTGCCATGCCTTTAAATGAAGGGTTCTAAAATTTCCCTTGGTTTTCCACAATTTTATTCTCTAATTTAAAGCAATAACTGCGCTAAAATGCAACTTTAGCAGGGAAAGCGACATCACTCTGCTTCTGGATCTCGAGCCAGGAGAGCCAATGTATAGTTCTAGCAAACACATGGAATGCTCTAGAGCAGAGTGTGAAATACTCTAGTAAGGCATTTCAAAGCAGACATACCACACCCAAACTGAACTGTTACGGTCAAAGATACCACCAGGTGAACACCAACTAATGCAGAATCAACACGAAATGCTTACAAAATGACACACTGATTTACAAAACCACAAAAAAGGTACCCAAGCACCAAAAGAAGGCAAAACAATGACCAGCCACTCTAAAAGAAAGTTTTGTTCTTCTAAATGTCAGATTTGCAGAATAGAAATAAACTGCTTTATATGTACTTTGCCCTAGGCTATTAACATTCATCATAACATACAGGGTTACTTTTCCTTAAAAAAATATATCATGTAGAGAATAACATGTACAATCAGTGATAGAGAACATTTATTTTCACTAGTGAGGGGGTCATGGAAGCACTTACATAGAAAGTTATGAATGAATCACGAAGGTCATTTAAATGCAAAAAGAAATCTGATGAAACCTGCATTATTAGTTATTATTCAACAGTGCAGTGAGAGGTTTAGCAATTGCCTTGGGCTTACTGAGAAAGTCTTTAAGTTCAGAGTCATGAAATGTCTAAAAATAAAAGTTTAATTAGTAAAAATACGTATTTTCCATGTATGGGCCCAAAGGAAGTGTTCAGTGATTTTGGAAGCCATACTCTTATCAAACAAATAAAAGAATATGAATCAGGAGCATTTAACTTTCAATTCTCACTTATCCACGAATTGTCACGACCTGCAGCAAGTCATTTAAGTTCTTCAGATTTTGTCCACAAAAAGTGAACATAAAAATAAAGGCATATGTCAAAAAAAAAAAAAATCTCTGGATGGTATTCAAGCTAACAATGGTTACTAAAGCTCACAATTTCAACAATTCATTATATAGTACAATCATTTTTAATCCTGCTGATTATGGCTAGGGGAAGACTGGACAATGAAAATTATCAGGGAATTCAAAGGCTTTGTACAAATTAAGAGTTTTGACTTTGTAAACTACTTGTTTTCCAAGAGTTGTTTAAAACAGTTCATCACATATGGGTTTGACTATTTTCTCTATTCCCCTCTTGTCTGGCAGAACAGCTGAAAGTAGTGGAATGGACAAAAGAAGTGACAACAGTTAGGTAAGAAAAGCAAGCAGCAATAGTTTAAAATGAGGTATAAGCTTTTCATCAACCCCAATCAGTAATTTACAGTTTTGTTTTGTTTTTTTTAAGAAGCTACATAGTTCAACAAAACTATATCTTAAGAACAGGGATAAAGAAAACATTCTTATCGTGGAACTTTTAAATTTATGATAATTAAGCATTTAAAGTGACCATACTAGAAAACTCCACTTTGAAAAGGAGTTGTCTGCCCTCTAAGCACAGACAAAATCAGAAACTGGAAAACTAAAGTCCACAGAAGAAAAAAAAGATTATGTTAATTGGCTCAGGTTATCAACATCATCACACTGCTTTCAAAACGATATTAATATTTAAACAAATATTAAACTCTCACTAATGACACCATGCTGAAGTATTTAATGGGAGTGTATTGTCTGCGATTTACATTGAAATGTATTTAAGAAAAAAAAACAATGGATTGATGGATACAGGCATGGATAGATGGTACAATATAGTAGATGTTAATGGTAGAATCTAAGTGGTGGGTATATTGCCAACATTTTTCAACTGTGAGGGATGTTTGAAAATTTTCATAATAAAATGTTAACATTTCTACAATAAAATTAATTTAGCAGTGTGTTTTAAAGACTTGAAGCACTCAGACAATTTAGAATTTTAAATTAATTGAAGTAGGGAAATTTTTCCTCTAAAGGCCTCATTTCTCAAGATGCCTCTTTTAAATGTAGAGATGAACTAATGCAATTTACATTATTGTACAAGACAGTCTCTTCACATATTTTATTTGCAAATACATAATTCTCTCCTCTCTACAGAAAAGACAGGTTTTTAAAAGACCACTGGAATAGAGTTTTTCCAAGCATCAGTGTCAATCCACCACGCTACCATTCACTAAATACATATGAAATAATATAAAACATAGCAGAGCAAGGTGAAAAATAATCTATGAATTGTTGGCAGCCTGAGACAACTGGATTTATTTTCAGGGGATATGGTTCCTGATCAATAACAATAACGGTTTTACTCAGTACCAAATTGAGTCTGTATTTAAATAAACCAAAAGGTGTTAGAATACAATTCACACAGATCTTGGTTGTTCCAAGCTCCTGTTTTATGAATTGTGACTAATGGCAATAATTCAGTCATCTCTTCTCTCTGTGAAATGCTAACACTTGCTAAAGGCACTCATATTCTGGGCTTAACAGAGACAGGGTCACGGAGGACCATAAGCCAGTACTTTTTTTGGTAGCTACCCAGAAAGGGAGTTTACAAATGATCCTCCCATTCCTAACGGGCAGAAAAAGTCAAACAGCTATCAGTAGAAATGTCTTACGAGAAGCTATTTACACAGCTATTTGTCCATCCAGCTAGATGGACAGTAATAGCTTACAATGGCAAGGGTTCCCCCAACAAAACAAAACACTTTTTATTATATATGAAACTCCTGAATGATGATTTGGCTGGTAAAAAAAGATAAGGTAGTTTAAAAAATACATATTTTGTTCCAAAGCCTACAATATTTTTTTTTCTATACTGAGAGAACATTTCTCAATTTACTTCTAAAGAAGCCCTACTGTCCTTCAGACATGCCTCACCAAGTTCCTAAGACAGTACTTCCAATCTAAGTTCCAACTCTGAGGAAACAAAATAGATTCAGTTCCAAATCCACCAATCCTGGGCCTCTCTGTAGAGAATACTATGCAGAAGAGTTACATGTCTCATCTGACATAAGCAAGATTCATCTTATACTGGTCGCTGGACAGTCCTTGACCTGTCACTGCTTCAGTCCCAGTCAATCCAGGAGCAAAGGAATCATGAATTCCACCACTACGCCTTAGAATCTATCTACAGAGGAAGACTTAACCAGATACCATTTATATATATATATATATATATGTTATAATATATATATTTCTCCTTTTATCCTTATTCAAAACTGTAGATAGTTATCTATAAGCAAGCATACAATACTAGCTCTATAGACTCACTTTGTAAAAATGAGAGTGAAGGTGGCATGCTTCCCTTTAGCTGTTTAAGTCAAAGGGACATAAGAATGATCTCAGCCAAGATTCTTATTCAGAGTTCCAAAATTCTAAATGGTTTTCTAAGTTTACTAACTAAGAAGGGGGAATGGTGAGGAAGAGTTGGGGGAGGAACTTTTTCAAAATGAATGGCATAAAAAATTATTCACCTTGCAGAATTCAGTGCAATAAGAGACAAGCAGACAAACATAATAAAGAACATGCACATATTTACAAGTTGCAGTACATGATACACAAAGACAAGACCCACAAAGTATTTTCTGTTCAGTGTGGAGTCAAAAGGGGTACATGGCACATTCAATTTTGTAACTTAACTTTTTTTTAAAAAAAAACCACTTCGAAGGCATATGCAATCCAATCTTTTAGTTGGAATATGGAATTTTTCCCTTACAACTTCTTGCCCTTGCTACCTTAAAATTGAGTTTCTGTTATCTTCCAGTATTGACTTGGAATGACAACTTACACAAAGATAGTCACAGAGAAAAGAGACTTGGATGCTATGAGTTCTTCTTGCAAATGATTACTGAAATCTACTTGTGTTTTCTGACTAAAGGTTTTCAGTTGTTTAGGCCTCTGTTCATCCTTGTATACAGGATATAGATACTATCATGATTCCCGTGGTGGGGGAGGGAACAAGTGGCAAATCCTAAAGCACATTACAGAGCAGGACTGGACCTCACAAAATGAAACCAATGGAGATCACGTATCACTGGCTGCAGTAGTAACAACAGTCTATTTTGACAGGGAAAAAACACTGTCTATAAGGAATGCATGAATATAAGATACAGTACCATGCAGAGATATACTTATTTAGGCATTTCCTGCCTGATAACCTCTTTCACCCTCTGTTTAAGCAACAGAACACAGGAAAATATTGCAAGGTAGCAAGCCCAAAACAGCCCACTGTCATAAAGACTTGTGGTTTTTTTTTTTTTGGATGTGCATGTAACTTCTACAAATGATCATGGAAGTTATTTATCTACTCCCTAAAGTTTGGAAATTAAGGAGTAAACTGAGTTATTGTAGGCAATATGGTATCTAAAGTGTCATATAAAACAAACGCATCACTCTTTTTTTAGTGCAAAGAAAATATAGCAAGTAAGAAATAACACTATAAATTTAACTTCTTTCTTCAAAAGAAAATGCGCTTATGCATTCATAACATCCATTAAGGGCACTGGGAAACTGGAAACCTGAATACACAAGGCCTGGAAAAAAATCAAGCCCTTAAATCCAATGATTTTTATACGTACACAATAAGATTGTTAAATGGGAAGAGCGGGGAAATCCGTCCTTTAATTTTATTTGCAAAGGAAAAACTGAAAGTGGATGAAATGTCACTTTTACAAAATGTAAATTCATAGCTACAATCTTTTCCTGTTATCTGAAAAAAAGTATTCAATGAAATTCTCTCTATGGTATCACATCTGTATGTATGTAGAAACAGAAAATGAGATTTTTAAATAATCATAGAACCAAGTGGCCAGCACTGTAATATTAAAATCTACTAAAAAATATACTTAGCAGCAAATGAGTAACCTACTGGTCAATGAGATAAGCCCTAAATTGCTCTAATCAGCTGTAATTTATAGATTACTGCAAAAATAGGTTATTATACATGGAGTCATGGTCTAGATGGAATCTCAACAGAACTTTACTTCATTCTTCTGTATCTGGGAGAATACCTTTCCATAAACAATTCTGCTTTTCAGTAAACTACCACTTCAAGAGAAGAGCGTACCTTGATATGTACCAAGGTTAATAGCAAAAATGGTATTTAAATATGGGTCTAGATTGTTCAAAAGTGTTACAGAAAAGGAATGATGATTATAATTTCCCTCCTCCCCACCTATTTACCTATACAATTATCAGGAAGAACAGGTGTTTTATTTTTATTTAGTAACATAAGCAATCAAACGTGAATTGACCATAGTGAAAGATACCGCTCAAGATAAATTTCCTAATGAATGTGGCCTTTCAAAAGAAACATGAATGAGCAGCAGTCTTATCCATGTAAAATAAAATATAGTAAATAGATAGAATTCAGTTAATGGAAGTCCACAGATTACTCCATTCGTTAATCTAGACATACACTACAGCTTCTTATTTTAAAAGAAAAAACAGAAGAATACTTATTATTATCAGATACCAAAGTAATCTACATTTTCAGTATCTTCAAGGAATCCTTTAAAGATTTACTTTATAAAGAATAAAACTGGCTCTAAAACCAAAGTTGATGTATTTTTCTACTGGAAATGATCATACTGAAATTTGATTAACTTTTTTTAAAATTCTTCTCTATCTATGAAACAGTACGTAGCTGTATTCTCGTAACAGCCAACTAACTGGATAAAGAGAAAAGATTGTAAGTGTAAGAATCGTATTACTTAAAAAGTCTGCCAAAATATCAAGAGATCTGAAATTACGGTTGAGACCATCACATAAGTGAATGTTACTACAGTGAAGTACTTTTCAACTGAAATATGAAACACTTCCTGACATTTCCTGAAGCCAGCCAAAAAAAATATACTTTTAAAAAATCATACCCTTATTAAACTCATTAGATATTCAAAAGTGGGGCTTGGAAAACCCACAGCACAGCTGTGGCATGAAAATGAGCTTGATAGACAAACTGACTCTCAAAAAAAAAAAAAAAAAAAAAAAAGAGGAGGGAAAAAGGTGGCATTTAAATGAGTGAAATCCACACCTGGAAATGAAGTTTAGCTGTTCAGAAGTACACAAACGCACACACACACACACAGTGTCTGAATTCCAGAAAACCTGCAATTGGATGACGGAGGGACACAATAAAGGGGAATATGTCCTGGGAAAGACTCTAATGCCCTTTACCCTCAGACTACTCTCCTGACAACGACTGAGGTGGTGGTTCCAATGAACCTTTGGGGTGCTAAAATCTCTGCTTACGTGTTTTTACTGTGATCAGAAGTAAAAACTCAGTAACATTCTTTACTTAACAGTACATAAAATTAAAAACACAAACGAAGATGACATTTCTAAATAGTCATAGCTCTAAGTGGTCAGGCTACTAGACGACCAGAACTTGGTCAAGATAAAAAGTTGTTTCTGAGGGGGTAGTTAGGTCACATGCTGATACATAGCTCAACACAACTGACCTGAAAAAGCATTATGGCCTAAGAAGCACATTCTTTTCCTCCCCCGGTTTTGACATCTCATGGTACCACTGCGGGTTACACGTATTCACGTTAAGCAGAGGAATGTACTCATATCAAAAGGACCACAAGGCAAAGGCATGTTGACAGAAGGTAAACAACAGGGAGGTCAAGCTGCTCTATCTGAACATGACAATCACTATACATAGCCCAGATTCTCCATCTCATTCCTGTACCGCTGTTCAGACACCTTGCTTTTATGTTGCTTGCTCTCCAAATGCTGCCGGAATTCCATCTCTTCGCCAGCCCCAACGTTACACATCGAGCAGTAAAACTGGCCGCTGGGAGTAACACACATGGCCAGATCACGTGGAATTCTCTGCCGAGAGCGGGGGTTGAAGTAAGGACCTCCTAAGGCAAGAGATAAAAGTAATCTATACATTCACCTTCAAAATAATCACTTGAGTGGTGGGCTGATCAATTATCACCGTAATCTGTGATTCTGATTATTTATTTAAGTTCTAATTCAAATTATAACATTCACAGATTCTTAGCTTTAAATGAATGTGAAATTAATGATTTTTAATTATAATTTTATACAGGTTCAATCTAAAAGGATAAAATGGATCCTCTAACTATTGTCAGAAAAGCTACTTTAAAATCAATCCCAAACTCTAAATGGCTACATATCTTAAAAGTGAATCCAATTTAAAAAATACATTTTTTGTTTCAAGCATTATATCAAAAGTCCTACAATTATGCTCTTTGACCCAAAAAATTCTCTAAGAATTTATCCTAAGGAAATATTGAGAATTTCAGCACAGACAGCTACCAGAAATGATCTTTATTTCAGCAATAGCTATAGTAGCAAAAACTGGGGGTGGGGGGAAGGGAGGACAAAAGAGGATTAGAAAAAATATAATTGATGCAACAGAAAACCATACAGTCACAAAAAATAATGCCATAGAAGTCTTCCATTACATTGAAATCTGAATATAAAATACTATTAACTAAAATAAACTTATCACAAAAAATAATCCCATTTATACTTTAAAGAAATATATATAAAGAGACTAGAAGGACATAGATGAAAATATTGGTGGAATTATCAATAACTTTATTCTTTTTACATAAATGACTTCATAAGTTGGGCCTTTAGCACATTAGTTTTCTGCTTTTCTAATATAACAATAAGTATTTACGACTATAAATTTTCTCACAATATTGCTTTCACTGCATCCTAGAAGTTTTGGTATGATGTTTTTATTACTGTTCAGTTCTAAGAATTTTTAATTTTCAATACGGTTTCTTCGACTCATGAGTTATTTAGAAGTGTTTTAAAATTTCCAAACAAATGGATATCCTGTTTGTATTTTCTGTTTTTATTACTGACATCTCATTTAAGTGTACTCTAGTCAGAGAACTTAGTCTATAAGCTTCAATTTTTGACATTTGTTGAAACTTGCTTTATGCCTAGTATAGTTTTTGTAAATGTTCCATATATGCTTGAACAAATGTCTATGCTCTATTGGGTACATGAGTATATGTGTGTGTGTATATTTATGTATATGTATATATATACACATATATATATAATGTCAGCCCAGTAAGTCACTTTTGTTAACTGCATTATGCAAAACTTTACCAATTTTTTATTTACTTGGCCCATAATAATTAAGACACGTCTTGAAATCTCCCAATATGATGATGGATTTGTCAACATACTCCCACAATTCTATTGATTTTTGCTTTACATGCTTTGAGATTTTTTTTTAATTAAGTATATACACTTTCAAATTGTTACATCTTTCCCTCTCCATCCCTAATAATGCCTTCTGTTCTAAAGTTTCTTTTATCTGATATTAACACATCTCTCCCAACCTTTTTATTTGAATTTCTTTTATTCAATCTGAAAATCTTTGCCTTTTAACTGGGACTTTAATAAACTGACACTTATTATAATTACTGATACCTGTTTAGACTTTTTCATAATTATGTTACATTTTGCCTTCTATAGTTCTGCTTCTTTCTATGCTTCTCTCTTCCCTTTTCAAATAACTTTTTGGATTTTTTGCTTTACTTTTCACATGAATGACCTCTGCTGGTGTGTGTTTGTATTGGAGGTAGGGCTGGGGGGGATGGACCGTATAGAAGAAGGACCTGCTCAGTCCTACTGAAAATAACCAGAAAATGTAGAAAACATTCCCATGAACTAGTAGTTCTGAATTGAGGGTGCATATCAGAATCACTGAGGAAGCATTTTCAAAATACATGTATCTCTAGGTCCCACCACAAATGGAATGATTAAAAATCTCTGAGGCACAGTTTAGGCACGTATATTTTGTAAAAACTCCCCAGGTGATTCTGAGTTGCTACTCTAGTTAAAAACCACTTTTATAATTATTTCCTGCCCGCCCCCCCAAAAAATGAGAATTTAACATGATGCAACTTTAAACCAAAGACCCCGTTTTTATAATGCATTTTATCTCTCTCAACTGGCGAATACCAGAAGAAGCATAAAGGGACTATGATAAGAAACCCTAAAACAGAAGCCTATCATTTAAAACCAAAGTAAATAATACACCAAATAGGAAATAAATAAAACCTGAAATGAACACCAGCCTGAGAAGCCACGGGGCCAATTCAGCAAAACAATGACTAACCCCAAATTCTCAAGGCTATCTGTTATCGTGAAAGGAAATAAAAATGAAGGCGGTCATTTACAGAACGCAGCCAAGGTATGTGGAACAACACAAGATACCTGAAGTGTTCTGTACTGTGTACATATTTCTCCTATTAGACATCATCTTATATTCATTCCCTTCTTTCCGGGCCCTCCGCTGACCCACCTCTGAGGATTCCCTGGAGAAAAGAAATTTAAAAAGAATCAGACTTCTGAACAAGGATCCCTTTCAACTCTTTTTATTTAAAGACAGTCAGTCTCACACAACACTTTGGCCTCAGAGAAAACAGCAATACCTACGAGAATGAGTTGCTCTGAGCTTCCGCCAGCCGCAGCCTCTTGGCATGATTCTTCCCTTGATAGTGAGCCTGGGCCACAGCCGGAGAACTAAAGGAGGCATCACAGAGCTTACAGTAATCGTTCTCTGTGGCCAGGATCACTCGGCCTCCCGGCTTAAAGGAGCCCATCTGACATCAAAGACACAAGCAGAAACAGGATTAAAAAACGTGGACTTTATTCCCTCCTTCTCCTCAAAGTTCCTTCTATGAGTTGAAAATAAGCACAGAATGTGGCATGACCACAAGCACTCAGCTTTATAAGGAAATAATTCACTGGGAGACATTTAATCATGGTTTTGCATTATAAACACCTATGTACTAGCAGGGGGCCCTGGTGGCGAAGTAGTTAAGAGTTCAGGCGGCTAACCAAAAAGTTGGCAGTTCAAATCTACCAGCCGCTCCTTGGAAACCCTAGGGGGCAGTTCTACTCTGTCCTATGGGGTCACTATGAGTCGGAATCAACTTGATGGCAACGGGTTTATGTAGCAGCAGAAGGTGAATGCTTCACTGCCATCTCTACTGAAGAAATTAAAAAAAACGAGTTTAAAAACCCCAGTATGAAAGAGCAAGGGCAGTGTAGGTAAGGCCTAAAATAATATTACCAGAAAGGGTAAGTCTCCCCAGAATCCATCAACAAACATTTCCTGAATGCCTACCATTTTTTTTGGCTTGCTGCCTAGTCCAGGAGAAACATACAGCCCTGTGGCGCAGTGGTTAAGAGCTCGGCTGCTACCAAAAGGTCAGCAGTTCGAATCCACCAGCCACTCCTTGGAAGCCCTATGGGGCAGCTCTACTCTGTCCTACTGGGTCGCTATAAATCGGAATCGACTCAACAGCAATGGGTTTGGTTTGGTTTTTATACAAGAAAAACAGCCCTACCCCTCAAAGAATCCACAAACCAGCTACTGAGATATAATACAACCAAGGAAAAATAACCGGCAGAGCCAGGCAATTGTATTCAGGTTGAGGAATAATACGTTAAAGGTAACCTGACACAGTGCCTGGCAGATAGTAGGCACTCAGTAAATACTGTTGGGTTAATATGCAAACAACAAACTAGATTTTGGCTAGAGGAGATAATATGCATGGTAACCAGTTGCTGTCGAGCCAATTCCGACTCATGGCAACCCCATGTGTATCAGAGAAGAACTGCGCTCTATAGGGTTTTCAGTGACTGACTTTTCAGAAGGTCTTTCTTCCATGGCGCCTGAACATGTTAACTGTTTGCACCACCCCAGGGTTGATAAACAGTCCGAAAACCATAGTATATCAGGAACAGTTGAAGGAAGTAGCACTGTTTTACCTGGAAGGGAAGGTTTTTTAGGGGGACAGGATATCTATCTTCAAAAATCACAAAGAGCTGCTATGAACAGGGGCTCAGAGATATAATATAACCAGGTTTGCCCAGGAAGGCAGAACCAACTGCAAACAAACCCCAGTAGGGGGCAGTCATCAAATTCTAGAACAACCTTCAGGAACTAGTAATGTGAAAACTACTCAGCTTAAAGATCTCTCTGGGCATTTTCCCATCCTCTGATGCTGATTTTAACATATCTCATTTTCCCCAAAATCCATGGGGATAAGGGAGTAGCTGATATTGTTATCCACACTTTAAGAACTGGAAAACTGACATTAAGAAAAGCAAAATTATATCATGGAGGTTATGAGCAGAGGTCTAAGGGTCAAAAGAAGTTCTGGCTCCACCACTTTACAAAATGTGTAACACCATGGAGAAGTTACTTTACTTACCTGAGCCTCTAATAAGCCCAGGTCGTACCAACGCTGCTGCTCCGTGACCTATACGGTTGAGTAATAAGGCCCTGTTGTTAGGTGCCATCAAGTCAATTCTGACTCACAGCTACCCCTGCAACAGAATAGAACTGCCCCATAGGGTTTCCTAGGCTGTAATCTTTACAGACGCAGATCGTCAGGTATTTTCTCCAGCAGAGCCACTGGTGGGTTCAAAACTACTGACCTTTCAGTTACCAGCCAAGCGCTTAACCATTGTGCCACTTGAGTTTCTTAATAAGGCCTTAACCCTCTAAAAGGTGGCCTGTGGTACAGTGGTTAGGAGCTTGGCTGCTAACCTAAAAGTCGGCGGTTCAAAATCACAAGCTGCTCCACAGGAGAAATGTGTGGCAGTCTACTTCTGTAAAGATTACAGCCTTGGAAACTCTATGGGGCAGTTCTACTCTGTCCTATAGGGTTGCTACGAGTCAGAATTGGCTCAACAGCAACGGGTTTACTTTTGGTTTGATAAGCCTCTAAATTGTTGTCAGCATTCAGCCTGGAACTAGAGGGAGGCAAGTGAGGTGCTCGCCTCCAGCACAAAATTTAACAGAGCACCAACACTTCAGTAACTAAGATAAATATTATTTTAATAAAATTAAATATTTTAATAGAATATTTTATAAAATCAAACCTAATACAAAAAAAAAAAATCCACAATGAATGAAATATCCAAATTTTTTAAAAAAGATAGGATCAGTAATAGTACTATGCCAAGCCACACTGAAGTCTGAGGCAAAAGAAACTCAGGAATACTTAGCCTGTGTTTATTTAAGATGTTGTTACTTGGTTCACTATAGAATTTTTACATTATCTTTGATGTTTTAACATATTGCATTAAAATTCTATTTATCTTGATAACTGAGTTTTGTGCACTCCCTTAAATTTTGTGCCTGAGGTGAATGCTTTCCTCACCTCACCCTAGTCCCAGCCTGAATAAATTAATATAGGAATATAGCAGAGTGCCTATCATAGCGAGTGCTCAATGAGAGTGCGCTATTATTATTATTTACGGCTACTGTTCCATGAATATATAATACTTCAAAGAGTTTAAGGAGTAGAATCTATATTCAGAGGTTATTAAACTGCAGGAGTATCTTCCCTCAATCACCTGTTTTACCTTCTCAAGAGCTAAAGGAACGCAGCTCTCAAGTCTAGAGAGAGTTTTCTATGGCTCTCTGCATAGAGGTAAGAAAGAAGCAAACTCAAGAAACTGATCTTGCAACTGGAAGATAAAATATAAATGGGGTTAACAGGAATAAAGAAATAAATGCTTAAAAATCCTTCTTTTAATCTAGGGCTTAGCCTGAATATTCAGGGTCCTTTAACCCAGAGTTATGAGAAATACACAAACAAACAAACAAACAAAAATAACACTATTTGTTTCATCATTTCATGTATCACAACTGAAGTCAATGAGAAATCTCAAGGCTCATACAGGTACCATGTAGATCAGTGGTACAAAAGCATTTGCCCAACTGTACCTTGAGGGGCAGTCAGGACAACCTGCGCATACGACAGTTTTCACCCTGACACTGTTTCGCCCTGACGCTCAGAGTGATCTCAGGCATGGGTTCACCGTGCCAGACCCTCATGGCACGTGTCTCACCTGCGGAGGGACTGAAACAACTGGAGTGGCTGCGGGCTCCACTGCATTGCTCATTCTGGTAGGGGGCGGACAGCTATTCGCGGCGTAGTAATTTCGGAGTTTCTTACCATGATTTTTACCCTAGAAGTAAAATAAAATGAGTAATCACCATGAGGAAATGGTGTCAAATTGAGTTAATCAATGTATTCACTTAAAAAACAACAACAACAACAAAAAAGCCCTGGCCCAGACAGCTTCACTGGAGCATTCTACCAAAAACTCAGAGAAGAGCTGAATTCTACTCAAACTATTCCAGAACACAGAAAAGGAAGGAATACTCCCAAATTCATTCTATGAAGCCAGTATAACCCTGACAGCAAAGTCAAATGCATCACAAAAAAAGAAAATTACCGACCAATATCCCTCATGAATACAGGCGCAAAAATTCTCAGCAAAATTCTAATCAACAGAGTTCAACAGCATATCAAAAAAATAATACACCATGACCAGGCAGGATTCACACCAGGGATGCAAGGGTGGTTCAACATTAGAAAATCAATGAACATAATTCATCACAAAAATAAAACAAAGGAAAGAAATACATGATCATCTTAAGCAATGCAAAAAAGGCGTTTGATAAAATCCAACAGCCTTTCCCAATAAAAGCTCTCAGCAAAATAGGAATAGAAGGGAAATTCCTCAACATAATTAAGGGTATATATGCAAAACCAACAGCCAACATTATTCTCAACAGAGAAAGATTAACAGCATTCTCCTTGAGAACAGGAACAAGACAAAGATGCCCATTATCACCACTCTTATTCAATATTGTACAGGAAGTCCTAGCCAGAGCAATAAGGTAAGAAAGGAAAATAAAGGGTATCCAAACTGGGAAGGAAGAAGTAAAACTATCTCTATTCGCAGATGAAACGATTCTATACTTAGAAAATCCCAGAGACTCCACAAGAATGTTACTGAAACTAATAGGAAAAAAAAACAAAACCTGTTGCTGTAGAGTCGATTCCAACTCATAGCAACCCTACAGGACAGAGTAGAACTGCCCTATACAGTTTCCAAGGAGCGCTTGGTGGATTTGAACTGCTGACCTTTTTGTTAGCAGGTGTAGCTCTTAACCACAACAAAGTGACAGGGTGTAAGATCAACACACAAAAATCAGTTGTGTTCCTCTACCCTAACAAGGAGAACTCTGAAAACACAATCAACAAAACAATACCATTTATAGTAGCCTCCAAAAGGAAAAAATACCTAGGAATAAACCTAACTAGGGATGTAAAAGACTTATACAAGTAAAACTATAAAACACTACTGCCAAGAAACTGAAAGAAACCTACCAAAAAACCAAACCGGTTGCCGTCAAGTTGATTCCGACTCACAGTGACCCCATAGGACAGAGTAGAACTGCTCTATAGGGCTTCCAAGGAGTGGCTGCTGAATATGAACTAACGACCTTCTGGTTAGCAGCCAAGCTCTTTAACCACTGCACCACCAGAGCTCCAAAAGAGACCTACATAAGTGGAAAAACATTCCATGCTCTTGGATTAGAGGAGTTAACATCGTGAAAATGTCAATACTACCCAAAGTGATCTATAGATATAATGCAATCCCAATCCAAATCCTAACAACATTCTTTAATGAAATGGAAAAACTAATCACCAACTTTATATGGAAAGGAAAGAGGCCCTAAACAGCTAAAGCAACACTGAAGAAAAACAAACTAGGAGGCCTCACACTTCCCTATCTCAAAACTTACTATACAGCCACAGTAATCAAAACAGCCGGGTACCGGTTCAATGACAAATACACAGACCAATGGAATAGAATTGAGAACCCAGAAGTAAATACATCCAACTACGGGCAGCTGATCTTAGACAAAGGGGAAGAAACTTCAGTGGGGAAGAAACTGTCTCTTTTACAAATTGTGCTGGCAAAACTGGATATCCATTTGCAGAAAAATGAAACAGGGTCCAAACCTCACACCAGCTACAAAACCTACTGAAAATGGACCAAAGACCTAAATGTTAAGGCTAAAACTATAAAGTTACTGGAAGATAACACAGGGACAAAACTAGTGGACCTTATTTTTCACATAAATAGTCTAGCAAACACAACTAAAAATGCACAGACAACAGAAGATAAATTACATAACTGAGACCTCCTAAAAATTAAATACTTAAGCTCATCAAAAGACTTTACCAAAAGAGTAAAAAGAGAACCTACAGACTGGGAGAAAATCTTTTGGCAACGACCTATCTGATAAGGGTCTAATCTCTAAAAGACATAGAAAACTGCAAAAACGCAACAAACAATCCAATCCAAAAATGGGAAAAGGACATGAACAGATACTTCACCAAAGATGACATTCAGGTGGCCAACAAACACATGAAAAGATGCTCATGATCATCAGCCAATAGAGAGATGCAAATCAAAATTACAATGAGATACCATCTCACCCTTGCAAAAATGGTACTGATCAAAAAAACAGAAAACAACAAATGCTGGCGAGGTTGTAGGGAGACTGGAACTCTTATACACTGCTGGTGGGATTGTAAAATGGTACAACCACTATGGAAAATGGTATCACACTTCCTCAAAAAGCTAGAAATAGGAATACTTTATGATCCAGCAATTCCACTCCTAGTATATATCCAAGAGATATAAGAGCAGTGACACGAATAGACATATGCACACCCATGTTCATTACAACATTATTCACAATAGCAAAAAGATGGAAACAACCTAAGTGCCCAACAACAGATGAATGGATAAACAAATTGTGGTACATATACACAATGGAATACTACGCAACTATAAAGAATAATGAGGAGTCCATGAAGCATCTTATAACATGGATGAATCTGCAGGATATTATGCTGAACGAAATAAGTCAATCACAAAAGGGCAAATATTGTATGGTTTCACTATCGGAAAAAGTCAAGAACAGGTATACACACAGAAAGCAATGTTCTTTGATGGTTACCAGGTGTGGATGGAAGCGGAAGGGAAAATCATTTTCTAGATAGCAGACACTTGTGTTTTTCTGGCAATGAGAATGGCAATATCAAATATGGGTGAAGTCTGTACTACCTGACCACGGTAAATAAAGATACTAAGAAGTATGCAAGAATAAGGAATAATTTTGGTAAATGCAGTACCATATACAACTTTACAATGACAATAATAACAACCAAAAAATATGTGTGGTTACAAAGGTAGATATGTATGAATATATGTGTATAGGAAGGCGTATGTGAGCACATGCACATGCATGTATAGGTGTATCAGTAGGCATATGTATATACATGTTTGTGTGTGCTGCATATATATTCATACATATAAAAAAGCACATAGAGGACACAGTTACAAAGACTTCCTAGACTTATCCAAACACCTCGCAGGATTGGTGTACAGGGTTAAAAGGCTTAGGACCATAGTCTTGTGTGACAACTCAGTCAATTAGCATAACCTAGTTCATAAAGACAATCTTCTACATTCTAGTTTGGTAAGTTGCATCTGGGGTCTTAAAAGCTTGTAAGCAGCTATCTAAGAAACAATATTGGTCTCCACTACTCTGGAGCAAAAAACAATGAAGGAAACTGAAGACTCAAAGAAGAAACTAGTCCACAGGACAAACAGCCCACACGATCCACAGCCTCTTCTAGTCTGAGATGAGAAGACTAGATGGCTACTGCTACTGACCATTCCGACCAGGAACACAACAGAAGGTCCCAGATAGAATGGGAGAAAAATGTTCAACAAAATTCAAATTCCTAAACAAGGCCAGACTTACAGGAGCAATAGAGACTAGAGAAACTCCTGAGACTACTGCCCTAAGATACCTTTTGAACTTGGAACTGAAGCCACTCCTGGAGGTCACCTTTCAACCAAATAATAGATTGGCTTATAAAATAAACAGTATCACCTACGAGGAATTTGCTCCTTTAAACAATCAACGATATGAGACCAAATAGTCAACATTTACCCAAAAGTCAAGATGAGAAGGCAAGGAAAGGCAGGGAAGCTAAATAAATGGAAACATAAGAAACAGAATGGAAATAATGAGAATGCTGACACCTTGTGAAAACTGTAACCAATGCCATGGAATAATCTGTATAAAAATTGTTAAATGGGAACCTGATTTGCTATGTCAACTTCCACCTAAAACACAACAAATTATTTTTTTAAAAAAAGAGCATTAAAGGAGAAATTACTTACTGTAGATCTTAAAGTAAAAGAGTCTACTCTTTGGTTCTAACAAAATGATTAAATTTATCTGAGAGATAAGGGAACAAAGCCAAAAGAAATTAATTTTCTATATATCTATGGAAAAGTATCACATTTTCCAGTGATCTATGTCTTTCTCCAACCTGTTGCCACTCATATGCCACTGTCTGAATACTATGAATTTCATGACACTTTGATTTAATCTATAAGTCAATAATGCAATGGATAATCCAATTATATTTACAAAAATAACTCTTGCAGCATATCCGTTAACATGCAATGGACTTTCACATGCGTTAGCTCATTTGCTGTTCACAAAAATCCTGTAAGAGGAACCTGCTAAAATTATCCACATATGACAGCTGAGGAACTGCAATCCAAAGTATGGGGAACTTGCCCCAGGACACCTCCAGCAGACTGAGCAGTGGAGCCAGAGCCTGGGCCAAGCTTTCCAAATCCGAAGCACAACTCTTTTCACTATAGCATGAAGGTTTCAGGATGCACTGCGAACATCTGTGAAAATGGATTTGCTTTTCTCGTCATGTTTTGTTTAAGTTATTATTCACTTACTACATTAAAATTGTATTCCTCAGACTGACACATCAAATGGTGGAAAGGGTCAGCAGTTCAAAAACATTCTAAATGAGGGTAAAACAGCATATTATTCTTTAAAGTGTGTTGTATCACTGAATTGTACATGTAGAATTTGTTGAGATGGCATATGTTCTGGTATGTTTATTTTCACCACAACAAAATTAAAAAATATATACATATAAAGTGCATGGTAAAATTCAACCTGTAGACAAATATTTATTCACCATTTAGTACACACCGTTGTTGCTAGTTGCCATCTTGTCAGTTCCAACTCATGGCAACACCATGTGTGCAGAGTAGAACTG